TAATTCGTTTTCTCCTTATTAATTGACATACCAGAAGCCTTTTCAAAAACATTCACTAACTTTTCCACCCGAGGCAAATCCCTGTTACCACTTACTAAAAATCGTTGTCATCAACATATCCAACAATGCCAGCCCCCCACCCCCTTTCGTTACCTACCCCATTAGCTGCTAATAAGACCCTAATTCCTCTATAAAAGGGATCCTGTAAACACGCAAAAAATATTTGTGAAAGGGGACAACCTTGACGTAGACCCCTTCTCGTCTGAATTTGTTCTCCTAACCTTCCATTTACCTGCACCCTCAAGGATGCATCTTGATACAGTAATTTGGCCCATGAAATAATTTCCTCTCCAAACCCCTGCCATCTCATAATCTTCCATAACGCTTCCCGTTCTACACTATCATATGCCGCCTCCCAATCTATAGCCAACCCCCCACCCCCCCAATTTTTACTTTTTCTTCAATAAAATTTTCAAATCAAACTTGTGCCCTTCATACATAGACCTTCCCGGGCCCCCCCAAATTTTGGGTCCTTTTTTCAATCACTTTACCCGGGACTTTTTTTATTTTTTACTAAAATCCTTGAAAAAAACCCTTATAATCCCCAAACACAAAATGAAATGGGCACGATAGTCTTTGACTGTTAATGGCTCACCTTTGGGCACAAGAACGCCCAACACCCAAATCCTTTGCTGTGCCCCAAGACCCGAGCCCATTTAAGGGGGAAATTGAATAATTTTCCCAAAAAACCCTTTTAAAAACATTTCCAATTTTAAAAGACAAGCCCGCGGGGAAAAACCCCTAAAATTCCCTGGTCCTTACCAAATTTTGGCCCCCCCGGATAGAGCTCAATGTCAAACAAACTCCTTATCGGCCCCCCCCAAAAACGAATCAATAAAGCTCTGCCCAACTCCCCACTGCCAAAAACCCTTCCAATGGACTTTAATGCAAATTTCGCTTATTCCCACACGTGCGTTTTAAACCCTTAAACCCCAAGCATCAAAAACCCACTCATACCCCAGTCGCTCAAAAACTTATCCACTTTAAAACCCTTTGCATCCCCAAACCTTAACATTCGGGGCCCCATTAACTCCTTTTGCCTTGCAACTCTGTTTTTGACTCCACAACACAGCTGAGGGCCGATCTCACCACAAAACCTCCTCAATCCCGGGCCCCTTAACCCTTTCCCCCACAAACCTTTTCTTTTTGAAAATTTTTGGGTATATTTTCCCTTCAAACTTTCAATTTCAAAAAAAGGAAAATTAGCATTAAGGTGCATAGCATTCGCAACAACTGCCCCTCAAATTTTTTTTTGAAAACCATGTTGAAACCGGGTTTTTACACCCTCGTCCCTCGATTAATTAAAACCTTAAAACCCTTTTTTTTGGCTATCGTTTCCCACCAATTAAACCATGGCAAAATCCCCTGGTGCTTTCCCCCCCCCCAAAAACCCCCCCAAAAAAAAGACCTTTCCCCCCCCAAAAAAATTTTTTTAAAATTTTTTAAACCCCCCTTTTTTTAATTTTTTTTAAAAAAACCCCCCCCCCAAAAAAAAAAACCCCCCAAAAAAAACCCCCCCCCCAAAAACCCCAAAAACCTTCCCCCCCAAACCTTTTTTAAAAAAAAACCCCCCCCCCCCCCCCCCCCCCCCTTTAAAAAAAAAAAGGGCCCCCCCAAAAAAAAATTTAAAAAACCCCCCCAAAAAAGGAAAAATTTAAAAACCTTTTTTTCCCCCCCCCCAAATCACCTTTTCCCCCCCCCCCCCCAAAAACCTCCCCCCCTTTTTTCCCCCTTTTTTGGCCCCCCCCCCCCCCCAAAAAAAAATTTAAAAAAAACCCCCCCTTTTTCCCCCCAATTTTTAAAAATTTAAAAATTTTTCCCCCCCAAAAAAAATTTTTTAACCCAAAAATTTTTTCCCAAAAGAAAATTTTTTTAAAACCCCCATTCCCCCAAAAAACCCCCCCCCCCCTTTTCCCCCCCCCCCCCCCCTTTTCCCCCCCCCCCCCCTTTTTTTTTAAACCCCTTTTTTTTCCCCCCCAAACCCCCCTTTTAAATTTTTTCCAAGTTAAAAATTTTCCTTTTTTTCCCCCTCAATTTTCCCCCTTTTTTTTTCCCCCCCCCCCCTTCCCCCCAAAAAAAAAAATTTTCTTTTAAAAAGCATGTTTTAAGTGTGACCAAGTGTAAGTAGGAGTAGCAAGATACCCTGTTAACTTAGCGTGTTAAAGACAGAAAAAGAAACCAGCAATCCTACCATCATGCAAAACAGTTACAGGTTTTTGTTTCACCCGCAATATCCACATCTATTACAACACCTCTATGATCCAAAAAAAAACACATCTATCACATTCACCCTTTGCACAGTAACCGCACAAGGCACGTACATTCAGTCCAACCTCGCCGCATAACCTTGTTTAATGAAGGTATGCTCTACCATTCCCCCCCCCCCCCGTGCACATCCTTTAAATAACAAAAAGGCACAATACCGTGACTGGAACGATACACAAATAACCCACACATAAAAGAGAAGCTTACAACAGACGTTTCGGTCATACTTGGACCATTAACAAAGTCACACTAGTGTGACTTTGTCAATGGTCCAAGTCGGACCGAAACGTCGTCGTAAGCTTCTCTTTTTTGTGCGGGTTATTTGTACATCCTTTAACCCCACCCCGGTCAATAAATCCCCCAATATACCCAAACACCCCGCACCTCTAGGCTCCACATCTTCACGACGTATCACGCAATTCCAATCTCCACCTATTATTGCAACATTCGGTAAACCACATAAAAAATAGACCAGTATGTCCTGAACAAATTTAGTTTTAATACTTGCATCACCCTCAGCCAGGCCTTATACACATACTAAACTAATGGGAACCTTACCCCAGGTTCCATCCACTCTAATTACCCTCCCCTCCCCCCCTTCACTACGCCTTACTATAAACGGGCTAGTTTCCTTTACCAAAATGGCAGCCCCACCTTTCAAATATGTCACATGTTCCATGTATACATTATAACCATAATCATATCCATCTCATAACCAGGCCTAAAATTATGTTCCTGTAAGAGTACCACATCCACACCAAGTTGCACCAAATACTCATTAAACCACTTAAGCTTCCTCTCAGCTCTCAACCCGTTAATATTTATAGTAAAACACTTGAATTCAACAAATGGGTTTTTCTTTTGTCCCCAGCATTGACTTTACCCCAGTTCGTTTTGCAACACCTCTGTCCCTCCCCCCTTTGTTGGGAATCACCTTTGCAATCCCTTGATCCTTGGGTTCACCTTTCTCTCTCTGCTGTACCTCCACCCAAGACTTTTTTCCAGGGCGTTGGGCAGGAGTGAGCACATCATCAGAATCTGATGATGCTGCAGTCCTCTTTCGTGTCCCGCCCTCCACCTGCATTTGGACATCTGAAGCACCGTCCTGATGCACCTCCACCTCTACTGCATGCACCTTCAATCCTTTAGACTCTCTCGTCGACAAAACGTCATCTCCTGCCATACCATCATTCACAGCCATCCCCAGAACTAAGCCTGGATCTCCCACATGATCTAGGACAGATTCCTCTGACAAGACATCCAACGCCTTTACCAAAGACGCCGCCACTTCTTCACCCATATTAGGTATTCTCTCCTCTAAAACCTGATGTATGTCCAAAGACTGAGATTCTCCTTGTAGCGTTACAACTGGTGATTCGAGCTCCTTTGTCCACCTCCTCACTCCATGACAACCATTGTTGGGGTGGCGTAGCAAGAGGCTGTTCTTGCTCGTTGCCTACCTCACCCACTGGTTGCCGTTGCTGTGCCGGGTACCCACTTCGTTTCCCACACAGCGCCGCGATGTGGTCATATGACCCACATAGCCGACACGTACGTTGTTGCCCGCATACGTTACATAGACTTGAGTCCGCAATTCCTTCAACACAACATATGAAGGAATAGGATGTCGTAGAGTCATTTTAACAGTATATGTACCTTCCAGCGTACCTGCATATGGTCCAGTTGCCCATCTCCCTGCTGTGGCTACGTGAACCATTCCATAATTACGCAGTTCACTGCTAATATCAAAATCAGTCGTCTCAAAAGGCACATTCCTGATTTTCACCCAAGTGTATTGTCGAGATACATCATGGAGTCGCACCGACACAGCTGTATTAACCGGTATGGTGGTCTCCTGATACTTGTCGACCACCACCTCGTAGACTCGTGCAGACGTCATTTTAACGAAGATTCTCGTCGTTCCATTGAGTGTGACACCACATATCTCCTCATTTGCTATACCATAGGTATCGCGAATGATCGCTGGTAGCAATAAATCCATGTTGGATCCCGTGACAGCCCCACGGATCATCTCAATGCAGACAGTATTGATTCGTCTTCTGCTATTCAGTGCCATGTTGGAGAAAATAGTTTCCACCAACCAACGCTAGGGGCAGCTCAGTCAGGTAAACTGCGCAAAAGCCAACTCAATCAGGAGCGTCTGCACAGCTCCGCACGGCCCGAGAGTGATGCGAACAATGAATTGGTAGTGTCGTAAGACACCTGAAGGTGGCAGTGACATATGACACTGGGACACTTAGGGTTATGATTTACTTTTACCTTGATTGTTTGTGACTTTGTATATTGTGTATGACTTTGTATGAAGTAGTTATACCAAAGATGTGAGTAGGAATTACTCCATTAAATCTCTGTGCAAAATATTTCTGTAACTAAAGATTATAAATTTTAGTGTTTATTTTTGTAATCCCGAACTCTGCCATGTTAAAACACAAGTAACAACAGGCTAATGGAAAACACTACCTGTGTAGATGTTTTAAGGACTAGTTTGTAATACTTATAAAACAAATTTGCCAGTAAAACTGGCTGTTTTTTCCGAGTTCACCATATCGCATTTTCTCTGAAACTGGTGACTGTGTGTGTGCTATATTCCATACCTGCGCCAGAGTACCTACTTAGTGAAATGCCTAAAGTTTTTCCCAGAGGAGGCGGTGAAATAACGCTGGCGTGTCTTTGCAGATGTTGGAAGGAGGTATGTTGGGAGTGCCTGCAGCGAGTGTGAGGTGCCAGCAGGCCACTGCTGCCCTGGCCACAGTCTCTTACAACTGTGTACTCTGCAATTTCTCCTCCACCTGCAGGACTGAGCTAAGTCAGCATATGAAGCAGCACACTGAGGATTCCCTCTTCGTCTGTCCTCACTGTGATTACAAGACCCCCAGGAGTAATGACTTGAAGAAACATCTGAGAGTCCACACTGGGGAGAAGCCTTACTCCTGCTCCATGTGTGGTCATCGCACTAATACCACCAGTAACCTCAAGGCTCACTACCGCACTCGTCATGCAGATAACAACTCTCCTTTTTGGGACGTGTGAGAACAAGTGACTGTTGGTATTCCTGTCCCTACTATCCTTCCCACCCACACATACCTCAACATCAGGCAGGTGAAGCCAAAATCTTCACCATTTCTGGTCAGTTTTCTAAATCATTTGGTTTAGAAAACTAACCAGGTGATAAATAAAACGCTTGTGCAACACTATGGTGTCTTATTTATGATGAACATTTCTGGCCACTGTGGGTAAGGTGAATGTGGAAAAACATTTACATGCCAAAAATTGTACCTGTAAAATATGACCTGACTCGAGCCCCCCCCCCCCCCCCCCCGTCTCTACTTTATGATCCTTGAAGGTGACTGTCATGTACTCGTGATAAAGGAGATTGGCACATACGTGTAAATATAGAAAACGGGTACACAAAATCAGATTATTAATGCAATGAACATGACTTGTGCAGTGAACATGACTAGTGAAGGAGGATGACAGGTACACAACTGTTGTATCAGTAATGCCAGCAGCAGAACACTTATGGTTTATTTAACCACCAGTGGATAACATGTGAATTAACACCCACTGTTGATAAGAACATAAAGGAACACTTCATGGGTCTACTGACCCATGCGAGGCAAATCCAAATCACACCCACTCGTGCACTTTTCTAACCTATTTTTAAAACTATGCTATGATGCTACTTCAGAGTTTGTTCCACTCATCCACAACTATTACCTAACCATTGCTTTTCTTTATCATTTCAAAATATTAGTTTTTCCAACTTGAACTGATTTCTGAGAGTCCTGTCTCGGTTAACTTTTTTTTTTTGGCACGTTATTTACATTCCCTTTATACCTGTCTTCCATTTACACACCTGAATCATATCCTCCCTAATTCTACTCCTTTTAGAGTTCTGATTCAGTGACCTCTGTTCTCCTAGGAAATAATTCTGATACATGGAATTAACTTTGTCATCCTTCTTTAAGTTTTCAGCGCGTTTATGTCCATTCTGTAATGTGATAACTAGAACTGTACAGCATAATGGAAAATGATGCCAAACCAACGATATCTAGAATTTTAGAATTATATGAGAACTCCTGTTACTTACACTTCTCGATATGAACCCAAGAATTGTTAGCTTCATTGAGAACGCTTATGTACTGTTGTCTTGACTTTAGATTACTGCTACTCAGAACTCCTAAGTCGTCTTCGCATTCAGAGTAAGAGCTCTTTATTTAGTTCATAAGTCATGGTTTTCTTTTCCATGGTTTAGAACTTTGTGTATGTCTATATTAAACTGCATCGGCCACTTCTCCAACCACTTCTATAGTGTCCTTACCAGAAATAATCCAACGGCCTACTGTAGTATCCGACAAATTTGCTTATGTTGCTATTTATTCCCTCGTCTATGCCGTTTATGTAAATTGTGAACAACAAAGGGCCCAACACATACCTTCATGGAACACCGCATGTGATGCATCCCGACTCTGATTTCTACCCATTTAAGCAAACTTTCTGTTGCCGGTGTCAGCCACGCCTCTAGCCAGGAAAACATTCTGTTCAGTGTGCCTCGACTTTCCACAAGTCTCCGATGTCGGACTCAAAAACTTTACTGAAGTCCATATACACTATAATATTTATTACCATCTACCTCCTCAGATATCTTAGTGAAAAAATATAGTAAATTCTTGAGGCAGGAACGCCCCTTTGTATAACCGTGCTGAGATTCATTGATCAATTTCTTTCAAGGTAACATCGAATAACCTCGGCAACTAAAGATTTCATCAATTTTCCCATTTTGGAAGTTAGGCTAATTGATCTATAATTCAAAGACCTGTCTCCTTTGTAGACAGGTATCACATTTGCCATTTTCCACTTATCAGGCACTGTACCATTTTGTAGTGATATGTTGGAAATACTAGCCAAAGGTTGAAGTTCCTCCTTACATTCTTTAATAGCCCTTGAGAACAGTTCATCAGGGCTCAGGGATTTGCTTTATTTTAATCCAAGACCCATGTAGTTAGTGAATTAGATCGTGCATAACGTATTTTTGTCCTGCTCCATGCAATTGTTTCTGGAATTTCTCTAGTATCTTCTTGTGTAAAAACTAAGAAAATAAGTGTTGAAGATTGTACACATTTCCTTGTCACCGTCATGGACTGACCTGAGCAACCTATAAGTGGGATTATCTTGTCCCAAATCTTGCTTCTTTATAACTGAAAAAACAGTTTGGGTTAATCCTCAAATCTCTTTAAACTTTAGCTTCATAATCTTGTGGCCTTTCGTGTTCTTTTTTTGTATCATGTTAATTAATATATTGATTTCTTACATGCCCCTCACCCCGTTTGATGTGCCTATAAATGCTTCTCTTTTGGCCTACGAGATTTATCTATTAACCTATTTAGGACAATTTTTATTTAATATAATTTTTAGTATTTGGAATGTAAGTAACCCGAGTAGCAACCATCACTGCCTACCTGATTCACAGGATAAATATGTTACTCCAGTTCACCTCACGTAATTCCTCGGCACTACCAAATCGGACAAATGTCAGGAACACTTGACCAATTTCTTAGGGCTGAGATTTTTGCCCAAGTTATCCTAGTTATATCCATGATATAACATGGATAACGTGTGGGTTAACATCCACCAGTGGATAACGTGTGGGTTAACATCCACCAGTGGATAACGTGTGGGTTAACATCCACCAGTGGATAACGTGTGGGTTAACATCCACCAGTGGATAACGTGTGGGTTAACATCCACCAGTGGATAACGTGTGGGTTAACATCCACCAGTGGATAACGTGTGGGTTAACATCCACCAGTGGATAATGTGTGGGTTAACATCCACCAGTGGATAACGTGTGGGTTAACATCCACCAGTGGATAACGTGTGGGTTAACATCCACCAGTGGATAATGTGTGGGTTAACATCCACCAGTGGATAACGTGTGGGTTAACATCCACCAGTGGATAACGTGTGGGTTAACATCCACCAGTGGATAATGTGTGGGTTAACATCCACCAGTGGATAACGTGTGGGTTAACATCCACCAGTGGATAACGTGTGGGTTAACATCCACCAACGTGTGGATTGAGACAAGTTTCATTTAATAATTTTGAGAAAAACATTAAATTGTATTTCAAGAAATTGTGACATTTGTTGTAGCATCAGTGGTATTGTTGTAGCATCAGTGGTATTGTTGTAGCAGCTTTGGTAATGTGGCTGAGGTATCCAACATGACACTACAACAACGTGGTGGGACGTTGTCACTTGTATTCACTCTAAAGTTTCTCTCTAGTATTGTATTATACAGTAACCTGTGGCCGTTTTAGTAAATCATTTTATGAAATCGTGTGTCCTTCATGTAGCCCTCACCATGTAGCCCTCACCATGTAGCCCTCGCCATGTAGCCCTCACCATGTAGCCCTCACCATGTAGCCCTCGCCATGTAGCCCTCGCCATGTAGCCCTCGCCATGTAGCCCTCGCCATGTAGCCCTCGCCATGTAGCCCTCGCCATGTAGCCCTCGCCATGTATCCCTCGCCATGTATCCCTCACCATATATCCCTCACCATGTATCCCTCACCATGTATCCCTCACCATGTATCCCTCACCATGTATCCCTCGCCATGTAGCCCTCGCCATGTAGCCCTTGCCATGTAGCCCTCGCCATGTAGCCCTCGCCATGTAGCCCTCACCATGTAGCCCTCACCATGTAGGCTTCGGTGTCAAGTGGTGATCTCTCATTCTCCTGACAGATCTCTCCACCAGAAAGTAATTTCACATGATTGCCTTGTGTGTACAAACAATGTGACTCTGCACACAACATTTGACGCTACAACACTGTCACTTGAAAGGTAATTAACAAGTTAGATTCATTATCTAAATTAATTTGAAAGTGTCTCGTAAAATTGTTTTAACTTCAATAAATGTTATTTTCAGCTGACGTGTTATTACCACCAGACACTCCCATGCATAATGCACGGATCCTCGACCAACATCACTCTTACGATGAGTAAATTCACATGAATCTGACTTGAACAGTTATCCAACCCCCTTACTAGAGTTGAAGTGAAGGCGACACTTCCAGGACCACTTTTAATTTGCCCACCTCTTAAGTAGAATTAAGTTCTTGGCGCGATCTTAGGAAAGTGTCCAGTGTATCTCGTACCCTCAGCCCCCTGTTCTCAGTGATCTTAGGAAAGTATCCAGTGTATCTCGTACCCTCAGCCCCCTGTTCTCAGTGATCTTAGGAAAGTATCCAGTGTATCTCGTACCCTCAGCCCCCTGCATCTCGTACCCTCAGCCCCCTGCATCTCAGTGATTGGAGAAAGGTATCCGTGTGCAGGCAAAACAGAGTGCAGACAGCATAGGTTGCTAAAGTAGTGAAGTAACATCGTTGAAGATCTAGCGTAGTGCAGCAGTACTGTTATCACTTGTGAACTGATGTCCGTTTGAATATCAATATCCAACTGGAACCTACAGAAACCCAAACCCAATTCCACCTTCCAGTAAGACGGACCAATTAGAATATTTAAAGAGACGCAAAGGAGAGACTGCCACAGAGATAAGTAATATATAAATATCTTTATTTCTACAAGCACACGTACAAGGTATACAGACCATAGCTGACAGCAGTGACATTACTACACAGAAAGCCCCTTGTTATGTGAGCATTTTCCCGCAAATTAGTTTTGTCCCAGGATGCGACCCACACCAGTCCACTAACGCCCAGGTACCCATTTTATACTGATGGGTGAACATGGACGGCAGGTGTCTTCCGGAAACACGTCCCTAATGTTTTCCAACCGTGCTCGAAGAGATTCGAACTCCGGACCTCAGTGTGTGAGCTAAGTGCGCTACCGATCGAGCTATGGAACTACGGGTTGTTTAACAATACTGGAAAAGTATGCCATAGACAACCCACTAAGAATACATACATCAAACCATACCACGGGCGGGATTTGAACCCGCGGTCAGAGCGGTATGGTTTGTTTGCAATCTTGTCATTACAACTTCGTGAATACAAACATCACCTTGTATATCACTGGTATACAATACCCAGAAGACGAAGAATTAAACACGTGTGTATATCATCTAGTCGGAATAGTGTACCATTAATACACACACGTGTTTAATACTTGACCAGACTATCCTCACTTTGATCAAGGTACATCAGCACTAAGTTTGATGTCGCTCTAAAGTTACGTTCTCAAGTTATTACAAGGGGAAGACATAAATATTTAAAATATAATTGACAAATTGGCACCCACACCCTTTAAGTAGGAAACGCCTGTGGTGAAGTCTCTTGTGAGTAGGAAGCACCTGTGGTGAAGCCTCTTGTGAGTAGGAAACACCTGTGGTGAAGCCTCTTGTGAGTAGGAAACACCTGTGGTGAAGCCTCTTGTGAGTAGGAAACACCTGTGGTGAAGCCTCTTGTGAGTAGGAAACACCTGTGGTGAAGCCTCTTGTGAGTAGGAAACACCTGTGGTGAAGCCTCTTGTGAGTAGGAAATGCCTGTGGTGAAGCCTCTTGTGAGTAGGAAACACCTGTGGTGAAGCCTCTTGTGAGTAGGAAACACCTGTGGTGAAGCCTCTTGTGAGTAGGAAACACCTGTGGTGAAGCCTCTTGAGTAGAGGTCCCTGTGCTGTACAAAAACCCTGAGGGTTCACCACTCTATTTATATAACTTTTACATACTCTCTGAACTAAAATTATAGAAACAAAAACAATCTCTATCAAATTACAAAGAAATACCAACCTGCCCACAGTTACACATTTATAGAGCAAAATACTTAAATGCAGAATTGATGAATTCTGGCACTAAATCATTTCCACATTACCAGTGTACATATTATATAATATTTTTGTGTGTGTGCAGGTGACAGGCTGGACGGCTGCTGGAGGTGAGGAAACCATGGCACCAAACCCACTCTCACTGCTCTACTACAGGTAAGACTGGGAACCCAAGACTGGGAACCCAAGACTATTACTTCAGTATTAGGACCCTAATACTAGCACCCCAAGACTGACACCCCAAGACTGGCACCCCAAGACTGACACCCCAAGACTGGCACCCTCTACCATTGTAACCAGTACACCAGCCTTTGTGGTATATTGTAACGAGTGTGGTATACCTGCCAGTGTGGTATATTGTAACTAGTGTGGTATACCTGCCTGTCTTCAGGTATACCACACTAGGTATACCACACCACTGCACACTGTGGTAATGTGTGTCCAGGTTCATGTAAGTTTATTCAGGTACACACAAATAGTTACATAGATTATCATACATAGCAGCATGTGTGTAGAGAACCTCGGATAACTCAAAAAAGTCAGAGACTTATTTCCATTGGGGTCCTTTTACCTCATTATTATAATATAAAGGTTATAATATCTTATTATTTTATAATAAAGATAATGTTTTATCATACTATTAAGACTATCTACTACACGAGGGTCATTACTAGGAATAAGGTAAATTTACACGTATGTTAGCTGAAAGAATAAAAAATCATTCCCCTCCCTTTCTGTAGCTACATTCATCAGACACCTTTTGGCACTCTTCTTGAACTGGTTCATGCTATGACTGACTTTGACATGTGCGGGAAGTCTGTTCCATTCCTTTATTGCTGTACAATAAAAGGTGTTTGAAGCCTGGCCACTGACTGTGGCTACTACAAAGTTGTGCTCTCTCCCTCTAGCACTATGATTGCCTTTGGTTCCCAACCTTGACAAAATTGGCAGCAAGATATTCTGGAAACTGTTTGTGAACAATTTTATAAACTTGATTTAGCTTCAGTTGTTTTACTCTGTCTTCAACATTCAGCATATCCAACTGCTGTAATTCATCCTGGCCTACATGCTCTCTTGGTCCCAGCCCCAGGATGAATATTACCATTTTGTTCTGGGTGATTTGCAGCCTTTGTTTTCTTTTGTCAAGGCAGAGTACCAGGAAGAGCAAGCATAGTCTATATGACATTATATAAGGGCTAGATATAGGGTCCTGCGAGCCTCAGTAGGTAGACACTGTGCCTGTCTATAGAGAAATTTCAGTCTGGCATTCACTTTCTTTACTACACTGTTCCCTATCAATTCTCCTGAAATGCATGGGTCAAAGGGGATTCCCAGATATCTTACTGAGGAAACTGAAGTGATGGGCTCCCCATTACACTGGACATTTAAAATTATTTACCCTTCTCAGTTTGTTTCGTGCCAGAGAATGGCTTCAGTTTTCCCAAGGTGTAATGATAGTTTGTTGTCTACTAATCATTTGCTGCAGGACTCCAGTTCCGGTGTTAATACATTAGCTATATCTTGTGGGTCTTTACCTGACAGTGATTGTCCACATCGCTCTCGGGCCGTGCGGACAGGCTGTGCAGTAGCTCCTGATACAACTGATTTCTGCGCAGTTTTCAGACCACTACAAGTCACAAGATGGCGGACCGACAAGGCAGGAGAGTTAACACAGTCTGTGTTGCATTCACACAAGGCTCCCTCAGTGTTTCTACAATGCACACATTAATGCCAAGCATTATATGAGACGTCTACGGCATCCCCAATGAAGAATTATATGGCGTAGCTTTGAATGGGATGTCAAGGATATTTATAAAATTCATGAATGCTGGCTATAACAAGATTGTGGAAACTTTTCAAGAAAGGAGAATGGTGGTGAATTCGGCTGTGGAAGTGTGTCTACATGACGTGTCGACATACGTCACCTGGGTCAAGGTGAGAAATGTGCCTTTCAAGGCAGAGGAGTACGATCTGCGGGATGTTTTCGGCAGATACAGAACGGTGCATGCAGCGACCAAGGGAGTGTGGAGAGAGGGCCCATACGAGGGGTTCCCGGAGGGCTCCTTCACCATCAAGATGACGCTCCACCAGTCGATTCCCTCTTATGTACGTCTGGAGAAACATAGGACCCAGGTGTTCATTATGCGGGCCAGAGGAAGACTTGCAGACTATGCAACTCTTTTGAGCATATGGCTGCCCAGTGCCCCCGTCGACTGGTTGTCCACTCCAGGGACCATTCACCTGTGGGCCTACGGGCTGAGGCTTTCCTGACTGAGCCTGGTACCTCAGCTGGGCAAGTTCCCAAGCTTTGGAGTGATGAGATGCAACAGGAGGACACGCAGTCTACGATGTGTGCCACCCTGTCTGTGGATGCATCGACCGTGCCCACGCTTACAGTGGATCCTGTGGGGCCTGAGGTTTTGCCACAGGATAAGTTGCTGGAAGACGTGTTGCAGGACCTTCTAGATGGAACAGAACATGGTCCTGTTGTTTCGACGGTGTGTCATGAGTTAACGACTGAGGAATCCCCTAACATGGAAATGCAGGATATAGCGGTGAAGGAGTCCAGCCCTTGGAGCATCTTGGGATGGGAGGAAGGGGGAGATGGAAGGGTGGTAAGGGTGGATGGGTATTGGGGTGGGGTTAGAGTTTGTTTTATCGGAGTTTATATGCCAGCGGACAGTAACTCTAAGGTTAAAATAGACTTTGTGAGGGAGGCTTTAACGTTTCACATTCGGGGTTTACCTTTAATTTCGGTCTTAGGTGGGGATTGGAATTGCATTATCCGCCATGGGGATGTTGAGCCAAGGGGGGCGGGGTGCGTTCTACCTGTCCTAAGAAATCTGCTGGGGGATGCAGGGGTTTATGATGTAGTGGGGAGGGGTGGGTGGGGGGTGGAACATACGTTTGTGCGCAGAGGTTACGCGGCCCGACTGGACAGGATTTATGCAACACAAGGAATTTGAATTGGGCACGTACAGACCCTTGATCTGGGGTTTCCCGATCACCGTGCAGTGCTAGCGGACTTGGACTGGGATGGAATGATCAGGGTTTATTCAGGGTATTGGAAACTGAATGGGTGGCTCTTGGAGGGGGAAGGGGATGGGTCCGCTTTTCAGGATTGGTGGAAGAATATCTGGGAAACACGGAGGGCAGATGAATGTTTGTTGGAATGGTGGGAAACGCATGCCAAACCCGGAATAGCGCGTTATTATAAGAAGCGGGGAAAGGAGGAGGCAAGGTGGAGGTTTGGGCTACAAAACTATTTGGAGGGGCAGCTAAATGATTACTATGTGGAGGGTGGAAGCAGTAGGTATGACGACATTGAACATCTTTGTAGCCGACTTGCAGAAATTCACAATGAACGTTTTAATGCGGTTCGAGTCAGAGCAGGTATGGAAGAAGTGCTCTGGGGTGACAAACCTTCCGGTTGTGTCTTGCGCAAGTTCAGGGTCAGACAACAGGTGACGTCCCTCTTGCAATTGGAAGTATGCACGGGTTTGGGTGGTTACCTGCCGGGTCAAGTACTCCTCACCACGGACAGCATGAGTTTTTATGCTGATCTATGGTTTGGGGAAAAGCTATGGCGGGGAGTAGGGGGGGGGGTCCATGTGGGTGGCCTGGTGGGGAGGGATTTCAGAAAAGTTATAAGTGACAGGGATAGAATGGTACTAGAAGGTAGAATTCGAGTGGAGGAGGTAGAGGAGGTGATTTTTTAGTATGAGTAAAGGAAAGGCACCAGGTATAGATGGCATTTTGAATGATTTTTATAGGGCGCATTGGGGAAGTATAAAGCAATGTTTGGTTGGTTGATGTATTGAATTGCATGCTCATGGAGGGGAGGTTAGGTATGTCACAAAGTACGGGGATAGTTGTGTTGGTGCCCAAAAAGGGAGGGGGGAGGGGTCTGAGTGTATATAGAGCTATATCTCTTATGTGCTCGGACTATATAATCTTTGCAAAAGTTTTAGGAAATAGAATGAGGAAGGTTATGGGGTCGGTTATTCATGAGGGACAGCTAGGCATACCAGGTAGGAGCATGAGGGACGGGCATGTATGTATTAGGGAATTTTTGGAGGAATGTCAAGGGGGGGTGTCCTCGGGCTTGACGGGCAAAATGCTTATGACTGTGTTGATAGAGATTTATTGAGGCTTATTTTATTGAAGCAGGGTTTTGGAGAGGAGATTGTAAGATGGGTTGATACCTTGTATGTCTCGGCTATGATATGCGTACAGATAAACAGTGAATTGGGGCAGCCGGTCCATATGGAACGGGGTTTGAGGCAAGGGTGCCCCCTCCCAGCTGCTTTTTGCTTGTATGCAAAACCCCATTTATGAGCTGGTGGATTGTGGTTTGAGGCGTGGGATCCGGAGCAATGACCATGCAGTGCGTGTGGTCGGGTACGTAGATGATACCACGATTTTGTTAAAAGGGGAGGAGGATTTGCGGATCGTGGGATGGATTGTTGAGTTTTTTGGGACAGAGTCTGGCATGTGCGTCAATAAAGCAAAATCGAAATGATTGGAGGTGGGTACATGGGTGGGGGGGGGGGTTGGGCGAAAAGTATGGGTGGTCAGTCGTGGTGCAACTTAGAATATGTGGTATCGTGTACATGGCAGATGAGAGGGAGGGCCGAAGGGTGAACTCAGAATTGGTGGTTAATAAGGCTTTCGATTGACTTCAGGGGCTAAGAGCTGGGGATGTATCTTTGCAACAGAGGACAGTAGTGGTTAATACACTTGTTTATAGTAAAGTATGGGGTGTGGCTGAGGTGTACCCTTTAAGAGATGTGGATATTCAGGAACTGCAGAGAAGGGTCTTACGTTATGTTTGGGGTTTCGGGAGGGCTTGGTTTAAGCAGGGAGGTTGTCATGACCCATGTTCGTCATGGGGGTTTAGGTCTCCTGGCTTTGGTGAAGTCCCTCTATGTTAAGCAGCGGTTCCTCAGGGTGGGCGGTGAAAAGGGCATCCGGGTGGGTCGGGTAATGATCGACATGCATAAATGGTGGAGCGGCAGGGGATTAATCGAGTGTGAGGACATGCTACGTTTGTTATTAAAGTTGAGAAATGCACAACAGATTCAGGTGGGGCAAATGGTCAGCATATGTTGTCGTAGGGAAATTGTACAGGGATTGTCTGTTTTCCTGCTGTACAA